CAGCCTCCAAATTGTAAATATGCTTAGGGTCTCACAAAGTCTTATGAGGACTGATCAAGCCCTAAAAGGTTTGCAACCAGAAAGTAATATACCGCTGCCTTTGTGTCTTTAGTGGTTAATAAGAACACATTTTTTATATTATATTCATCCTAATCAATAATCTTTTTGTTTACATCTAAGGAAATATGCAATATTGTGAAACATGATCAAACACCCATTAGTTTAAAATGCTCAGGCTCTGTAAGTATAAGTTTAATAACTTAATATTACATTTTAATGGAATAATAAACATTAATTTTTAACAGTAGTTGTAAGCATCTAAATCTATAGAAAAACTTTTTAATAGCCTACATATGTTCTAGATGCATAGATAACTGTTTTATAGCCTACACGTGATCTAGATGCATAGAAAACTGTTTAAAGCATACATATGATCCAGACGTATAAAAACTGTTTAAAGCCTACATATGTTCTAGATTTATAGATAACTATTTATAGCCTACATATTAACTGTAAGTTTATTAGAAAACTGTTTAATATCCTACATATGATCTTTTTCAACATACACTCTGATAAAATAAATGAGTACCAGAATATACATTTATAAATCTAATTTGTCCTCAGAGTCTTTCACGAACTCAGTTTATTATTGTGTTCAACTACACTGATGACTTTGATCCCACTTTCCCAGAATCGCTGTCCCAGGGAACTTTCCATGTTAAAGAGGTTTGTTTTCCTTTGCCCTTTTTAAAATTAAATCCTATATATTAATTTCAATTTTGTTCATTGGTGGGTGGCTGGCCAGCTGGCGGACTGGCATAATTTTCGGATGGCTAATTGACCCACTTCCTGTCAACGTATTGAGGTGAAACTTGGCACATAGACTCGCTGCCCATGACAAAATATTGTTTCAAATTTTGAGCTCCAATTCTCAACCCTAACCCCCAAAAATAAGTTTTTCCTGTTTTTCAAGGGGAAGATAAAATGAATTTTAAATTACTGCACTAAATGGGGTTCTTTTTTTTTAAACTAGGGAAATAGATTTCTTAAATAATGTATCTGTTAAGTTGGCAGCTGATTCTAGTTTAGAACATATCCAAAATGTCTATTTAAATTTATTTGGTATAGTGAATTGGCAAATATCACGAGTGTATGAATAGTATACACAATAAAACTAACTTGTAAATATGGGGTGGAAACTTATTATCAGAAGCTATTATCTGGAGATAAATTCTAATATATGGAGACTTTTTGTGGGTTCTGTAACCTCTTCAGGTTCTGTCGAGTTTGAAGCGGCAGGGACTCAGATATTTAAGGGAGTCCTAATAATTTATGTTTTTATACATTGTCAAGATGGACATTGGTATTGAACTTAAGTTCTTTTTTTAAATAAAATATTGCATTTGTGTTTGGTGTGTAATATTTTCTTTTGTTTTTCTAAAATTGTTGGTAAATCTGTGGTGTAAAAGCGGGGTGGGAATAAAATATTAATATAGTTCAGGGGCGTAAAAAGAAATTTGTGGTTGCGAGCCTTGGGGGGAAGGCACTAATTGGGCTTCTTGTAAAGTGCGTTACTTTTATGCATGTGTTGTCATATTTTTAACCCCACCCATCATTGCTCGATATTACATTTTATAAAGGATTTATACAAAAAACTATGTTTTTAGAGGTTGTTTAATTTGACATATGATTTTGATAATTTTAACAATAGAATAATGGATGTCCCTTTTTTCTGCTTATGTCACATAGTGTTAAAAAACAACATAAATCATGTGCAAGAATCTGGAAAAAATACCGTAAACATTATCTCTGTTCTGGATTGGTTTTAATGCATGGTATTTTAATGCGATGTCAGATCTGCAGAAGATGTTGAATTCAATACAGTTTTTTTTTTCTAAATTCAATAACAGTCATTTTTATTATAATATGCAATTTTAAACTTTGAGTTTTGTCTGTGAGTTTGTTTATCTGGGCCATGTCTGATTATACTTGAAATTTTGCATGGTTTCTCAATCCCTGGGACAATACAAGCCTTTATGATCAAGAGGTCAAGAGTGACCTGTATTGACACGTGAGTGACCTCTGCAGGTCAAATCTTCGATCTCAATTTTGGCACACTTCCTGGTTTTGAATTGGACTGAAACTTTGTACAACTTTCCCCCACCAATGATAATACAAACCTTCATGAGAATTTGGTCACCAGTGATGTCAACTGATCCTTGAGCGACCTCTGTGGGTCAAACTTTGCATCCCAATATTGACCCAGTTCCTTATGTCTGATAGAGCTGAAGCATTGTGCAACTACCCTCCCACGATGACAATACAAACCTTCATGACTAGTAGTTCACCAGTGAACTCCACTGACCCTTGAGTGAGCTCTGCTGGTCAAATCTAGCTTCTCAATTTTCAACCACTTCCTCATACCCAATGGAGCTCAAACTTTGTACATTTACCCACCCCCGATACAATATTCATCCACATTTGGCTTCCGTGCTTTTATTTTTTTGAGACATAATTAATTGCAGGCAAATACTGGTGTATTACTTGGTCATTTTCAGTAATTTTAATAAAAGCGTGTTTTTTTTAAAAAGTTTTAAAAATATGTTTTTAATTTAAAGTACGCTTGGCCAAAATTGAACTGTAACTGATACTCTTATTTGTCATAATATTTTGTTAATTTTTGTTAAAATCAATAATTTAAAGAGATTTCTCTATCTTATATCATTCTTAGAATATAGGTCCCAACTGTATCCAATGCTTACAGGTGAGCTGTATTTTAAAAAAAAAAAAAGCATTTTCTAAACAAAATCTCTTTTTTTTCTGCAGCGTTCAAGTCCTGACACTGTGATAGTAGACTTGTCAGACAACAAATACAGTGCATCCGATCAAGACTGTGACACAAATAATTTTATTAATTTTATTTACAATGTGCAAACGGTGGGTTACAAGAGTAATTACATTTAATTCTAATATTCATTTAGTTATTTGGAAATATGTTGTGTATTTGTTTACATAGCCTGGAAGAAATTAAGTACACTTTTTTTTAACGTCAATGGCCATCCTCACTCAGATCCAGAAGCCATTTGGGCATGTGGCCTTTGACCAGAGGCTTTTGATAAACTGCCAATGGTCAGTTAACTTTACAAAATTTCTGTGTATCTTTCAAAGAGAGACAAATTGAAATATTCTTAAAACTCAATTTAGGATGTTTTCAAGGTGACAAAAGAGAAAAAACTTGTCGTAGTTCAAGAGCTGGACTATGAAAGACAGAAGGAATATCATTTCAACCTAACTGTACAGACATCAGTAAGTTCAAACGTTAAGTTAAGAAGATCAGTTCTAAAATACCGGTACCTAAGATCAAGGAGATTTCCTTCCTTCAAAGTTAGGACAGAAAAATTTAAACATTTGTTTTTTACTCAGTCTGTACAAATTTACCAGCTTGCCCCCCCCCCCCCCCCCCCCCCCCCCCCCCCCCCGTTCCCCTTGGGGATACATGAACGATGTCGAGGACTGAATCAATAAATCAAAGAGAATACACGACCTACTCATTTCATGAACATATGAGAGCGATGCAAACACCATTTTGTAGGTGCCAGGTTGTCGCTGGCATCAACTTAGGTTTTCTGGTGGCCTTTTGTTGTTACAATGAGGATCAAAGACTCATTTTTAAACATACGTACGATAGCTCTTCAAATATTTTAGTTTGACTATTAATGGTGCGGCTGTTGCATGGAGTTGTAAATAAAGCACTACACAGGTTGTATAATTACTAGTCTAAACTAAAAGAAATTTAAGATTATATTTTTTTGTTATACTCATATATTAAGCGCCTGTAATTTGAAGGAATAAACATTTTTTTAAAATATAAATATATATTTAGCTACATAAAATTTACTCCAAAATATCATGTACACATTGTGCCGTACCTTGACCTATTACAATAACCTACTACCTTGGCCTACAAGGATGGCATTTGAGTGAATTGGCGCGGTTGTGTGTGTCAAGGCCGAAAACTCAACGAAATGTAAGAAAGAAAAAAGAAAAAAAAACTCAAGCTTGTTGAATTATTTCTTGTTAAGAGTTTTAAGCGCGAGATAAATTTACAGATTGAAAATTGAAATTGAGAATTTCTTTCATTTCCTAAATTCAATTTTAAAAAATATATATATTTTTTTAAACACTTCCTGATTCAGACTTTGTGTGGAAACATAAGCTTTAACTTCGTGAACCATGACAGGGGCGCCTCTGATGTTTGATACGGTAGCGAAATTCACTCTAAAGCTCACGAAATCACGTCATCTTCTATTGTCGTACCACTACTTGAATATTTACACAAGTCTGGTGACCTTTTGTTTTTTTGTAGTTGTTGTCTCGAGGTCAAATAAGTTGACCTTTAACCTCTACAATAAAGGCCAATAAACACAACTCTATTCAAACGTGGTTTCAATTTTTTTAAATTTTAAATTTCATCTAATTTTTTTTCTTTTACTTTCTGCACTGTCGCTTGGCCTTAAAAGTTACCAGTTCGATCTACATGCAAGGCGCATAGAGTTAACTCCAAAGAAAAAGCGGTATTGATTATCGATAGGTTGAAGTACAATTGGCTTCTACGCATCAGGTTTCAACCTGTGTGTTAAAAATTTAGCTGAACGGCGCGGTGCTCATCGTACTAATACAAATCCAGACCTCGGAGTACAGATACTAAGAGCGGTTCTAAGTTTTGTAACATTGGGCCCGAACCTTAAAAGTAGGGTGTTGAGATGGGCACCTAATGTCGATATTTTATCGGACTAGAAGTGGGGGTTATACCATTATGCCCCAATATAGAAAAGTCATCATGTAAAATTTTATTTGCGCNGTTTCTATAGTATAGTAGTTACTATCCTAGTGTCTCATTTTTATTTACTTAGTTTACATGTTTTAATAATTGTAAAGCGCTTAGAGCTTTATGGTAAGCGCTATATAAAAATGCCTAAATAAATAAATAAATATCTCCCAGGCTAAAGAAGTTTACCAAAGAACTCAGGGAAAGCAGCAAGTTCTTCCACTGGACTCAATTTACAGGAAAAACTTGCCAGAATGGGACAAGTAAGTCTGAAGTCTGTCTTTTAATCTTGTGTGCCTTGTAATCTTTGATTGTCTCCTGCTGTGCCAGTAGATTGTCTCCTGCTGTGCCAATAGATTGTCTCCTGCTGTGCCAGTGGATTTTCTCCTGCTGTGCCAGTGGATTGTCCCCTGCTGTGCCAGTGGATTGTCTCCCGCAGTGCCAGTGGATTGTCTCCCGCTGTGCCAGTGGATTGTCTCCCGCTGTGCTAGTGGATTGTCTCCTGCTGTGCCAGTGGCACTCAATGAAGTGTTTATTCATTAAATGATTAAGAGTAAGGGTTATTTCCCCTTGTTTCCCCGTCTCACTCCTAGGAGACATGTATGAATACATGAATTGTAATGTCCTAGACCATTGTCATATGAGAGGTATTGACCTATTTGAATACATTAATTATCTTTGTCTAGACCACTTCCACATGAGAGATATCGGCCCAACTACAAGCCAGCGGGGAACCCAGTCTATGCCAGGAATTTGTTGGACTTCACCAAAGATGAGGAGAGCTGTAGAGTAGGTCAGTGCTTGTTGTACACCTCAAGTAGGTCAGTGCTTGTTGTACACCTCAAGTAGGTCAGTGCTTGTTGTACACCTTAGAGTAGGTCATTGCCTGTTGTACACTTCAGAGGAGGTCATTACTTGTTGTACACCTCAGAGTATATTAGTTCTCATTGTACACCTCAGAGTAGGTCATTGCTTGTTGTACACTTCAGAGTAGGTCAGTACTTGTTGTGCACCTCAGAGTAGGTTATTGCTTGTTGTACACCTTAGAGTAGGTCATTGCTTGTTGTACATTATAGAGTAGGACAGTGCTGTTTGAAAACCTCAGAGTAGGTTATTGCTTGTTGTACACCTTAGAGTAGGTCATTGCTTGTTGTACACTTCAGAGTAGGTCAGTGCTTGTTGTGCACCTCAGAGTAGGCCAGTCCTTGTACACCTCAGAGTAGATTAGTTCTCATTGTACACCTCAGAGTAGGTCATTGCTTGTATACTTCAGAGTAGGTACAAACACAAGTCATAGCAGGATGAGAAGACCTCTTATATGACTACTTTATTTTGTAATGTTTCTCTTAAAGTAGCGTACGTTATGAAAGCTAATGAAACTGAAAAGTCTCAACTTGGCTAATTACTTGATACATCTATTGATTAAGAGATTATCTTAAAAAGCAAAAAAAAAAAGCAACCTCAAGGTTCAGGGTGAATATTCCAGGGCATTTCAGATGACACGGGGCCTAAGACAAGATGTACTCCTACTTCTGGCAACAAAAGGAAATCTCTTCAGTTTTTTTACTGTGGTCTGATACTTGTTATACTTCTTTACTTTTTGTCTTGTTTTCTGATGAAGGCTCCAAGCCCAAACGTCAAACTCTTTTGTCCTGTCAATGAACTCAAGTTTGGCATACCTTGTTCTTATATTTCATTTACACAACTTGAATGCAGTCCATCAATTATTATCTTTTATTGTGAGACTAGTAGACTCGCTGTCTTGTATGTTATTTAACCTAACATTAGAGAGCGTTAAAGGAATCATAAATATTGACACCTGAAGAACAAGAGAAACGAGCGAAACGAAGCATGGAAAAACCTGAAAAAAAGAACAGAAAAATAAAAGAAAGAATTTTGGCCAGTAACAGGGCGTACTTTAGTAGTCACAAAATACTCAGTAGTGAAAACATTACAAAAAAACTATGTATAAAACTGTAATCAGACCAGTAGTAACATACGCAAGTGTAACAATGGCAGAAAACCTATTAATTAAACACATGGGAGAGAAAAGTTCTCCATAAAATATACAGACCAACAAAGGATGAATAAGGACGGAGAATACGAACCAACCAGGAATTGTACAGGTTATATCAGGATTCCACGCTAGTAGCAGAAATAAAAAAAGGGTTATAAGGCTACGCTGGGCAGGACACTTAGGAAGAATGCCAAATGACAGAGGAGTAAAGAGGGTGCATCATCAAAACCCCAGAGGAAAAAGTCTCAAAGCCAGACCTAGAAATAGATGGATCGATGATGTGGAAAAAAATCTACAGCAGCTGGTGATCCAAGCATGGAAATGAAAAGCATCAGTTAGGTCTGAGTGGGAGGAAGTGGTGAGGCAGGCGGAAGACCTACGTCAGCTGTTGCACCACAGAGATGGATCTATATTAAATGCATTAAAAAATTATACTTTTTATTCCATTAAAATATTCAACTGGGCGATGAGGTCTTACATGAATTAACTTTAAAAATGAAAGATCAGCCCTGGGTAAGGAGTATAGTAAGTCCACAATATGGAATGGTTTGGCTGTCTCAGTCTAAACCATTGGAAACTATTACATTGTTGTTTGCGGCTAGATTATCGTGAGTTTCTAGTTCCCAAATAGAACTCTGTAACCAGTAAGTGAGTTCTAAAATGTACTTATCATATTATAAAGTCACAAAAATTGAATTAACATAAAGTCACAAAAATTGAATTAACATAAAGTCACAAAAATTGAATTAACATAAAGTCACAAAAATTGAATTAACATAAAGTCACAAAAATTGACTTCACCACTAATTACCCATTCAAATAACATGATTCATCCCCAGTGTTTGGTATGTTGCTAGGAGACACCCTCATCTTAGACAACCTTGATCAAGCCAACTTGTACCGGCAAGAGGTAAATATTCTATGTCTAAAACTCTATTTTGTCAACAAAGCCAACTGGTACAGGCAAGAGGTAAATATTCTATGTCTACAACTATTGTCAACAAAGCCAACTGGTACAGGCAAGAGGTAAATATTTAAACTGTAGATTTGAGCCAAATATGGAAATAACTTTTGAATGGGTCTCACATTGATGACGTGTCAGATTTTATTTTAATGAGCATTTTGCATTGACTTTTCAGATCATTAAATACACTCACTGCCCAACAATTCTGACCAGGAGCGGAGATCGTATCCGCAGCAATGGCAAGTTTGGAGGTGCCATGAACAAGGCCCCGCCCATGGACAAGCTGAAGGGCTCGGTGTTTGGGCAACCGTTGCCCATAGCATATCATGCCGTGTGTACTCAAATTGGTACGATATTTACACTATTTTGTTTTTAACCAGACAAGGGCAATGAAGATCTGTCATTTGAAGTGAAACAGATTTACCTACTATAAGTGTAAATACCTTCCAGTATATACGAGTAAATACCTTCTACTATAAGTATAAATACCTACCATAAGTTTAAATACCTACCATAAGTTTCAATAGCTACCATAAATATACTTGGCAAATGTTATCAGTAGAAATGGTAACTCTGATTTCAGACACCCTAGAAAAGTACAAGTCTGCTCTGGTGGCCAGCATCCAATCACAGGATGATCTGCAGGAGCAGGTCAACTTACAGAAAGTTCCAGAAACTATGGAAAAGTACAAAGAGTGTAAAGATGCAGAGACTCGTCTGAAAGAGGTGGAACATAAGCTTGGTATGTTATGTTACTGTGCACTTGAGGTCATGGGGTATATTATGTTACTGTGTTTGAGGTCATGACCTAATATTATGTTACTGTGTGTTTGAGGTCATGGGGTATGTTCTGTTACTGTGTGTTCCAGGTCATGACCTAATGTTATGTTACTAAATTGATTGGTTGCAACTAAAGAAATAATTTTCTACATATTAAAGGCATGGGAGTCCCAGGCAAGGGAGGCAAGCATGCAGTTCGTTCATCTGGAGACATGGAACCATCTTTAAAGAAACCAAAACTTGAACCCGGTACCTCCCCCATCACGCCAACAAGACTGTCGACAATTTCTCCGTCCCCAAGATCTAGAAATGGAACCACCCCCGTTCTGGATCCTCTAGCCACACCGTCCCGGACGTCGTCAAGGATTGCCTCTATGACGACCGTTGTCTCTGAAGATGGGCGAAAGCGGCTGAAAAAATCTGTCTGAGTGAGATAAACTGTCATTCACCGAATTGAAGGTTTCAGTATCTTTTTTTAAAATTTATGGAACAATAAATGATCCAGTGTTGGGACAATAAATGATCCAGTAATGTGTTCTTGAAAAGTATCTATCTTCTTTTGGGCTTCCTTTAAATGTTACGTTAATGCCCAGTGGTTTGTTGAATCTCTCTAAGTTTTACTTAACACTAATTTCAAACAGCTTTGTACGTGTGGGATCTCTGGGTAAATAGAGATGACGTATAGATCCATAGTTTTGTAAATTCATGTGCCAGTATCACTACTGAAGACCCTTTCCAAAGGGAAAAATAACTGCTGTCACCTGCTGAATATTGATTTACTATGAACTGTTCTATTTTCTCCTCATATTCCTGTTTCTGTCTGAGCGGAAAAACTTTTATGAATAGTTCGGATAATTTATATTGCGATGTATATAATTTTAATGATTTGTTAATGTACTGGTTTATTTTAAATAAGTGTTTTTATTTGAGGACTTGTCTGTTTGATCAATAACATCTACAGTGTTTTAGGTGGGGAATACTTACACTTACAGTGCTTAGGGTGTTTTCTATTTTGGGAGGTGGGGTGGGGGGGGGGGTGTTCGATAAATATTGGTTTTTGTTGCTTCCAAAAATGTCCACATCCATAATTAAAATTGTTGTTAGGAGGAAACTGTTAATTTTTGTGTGTTTTAGTTTTTGTGTTTTTAAAAAATCAAAATCAATTAAACTTTAATTTAAAGGGGAAACAACCCAGTTGTCCATTGTAATCTAGAGTTACAAGTTGTGAAATGAGGTCCAAGTAAAACTGGTTTCCTTTTGACCAGGCCAAAAGTACATGTGTACTTGCTTAAAGTAAAATCATTTACAGAGTAGGGACTCAGTTATTTCTGAGCTTGCTCTTTTGTGGAATGTGAGACAAATGGAAAGTAGGTCAGGTCAAATATAACCCTTTAGGTGTTGACTTGATCAATGAATCTTAGATAAGAAGTCAAATCCTTATATTTAAGGTTGCAAATCTAATCTGATTTTTTTTTTTTTTTTTTAAATTTTTGGTAAAATGCTTTATTCTGTTAAATAAATTCAAAAATTATTTTGCATTTACATAAATATTTTTTTTTACCTTTAGGTGTTGACTTGATCAATGAATCTTAGATAAGAAGTCAAATCCTTATATTTAAGGTTGCAAATCTAATCTGATTTTTTTTTTTTTTTTTTAAACTTCTGGTCAAATGCTTTAGTCTGTTAAATAAATTCAAAAATTATTTTGCATTTACATAAATATATTTTTTTTAAAATGCTTTTTAATTATCTGCACTTGAGCTATTAAAAATGTGCAATTGTTGTTGTTTTTGTTTTAAAGAGATGGATCTGTTTCGTCATATGAAAGCTTGTGATTGTGTGCAAGTATGAAAGCAAAGACTTGACAGTCAATGACATACGCCCCCGTATCAGTGATGGCTTTTGGTGCATTGTGCTGGAAATTGAGAAAGTCTGTCGCTATTGGTGAATCAAGTTAATGACCTTGAAGCTGTGTGTACACAAATATTATTACTGTGTGTACACACATATTATTACTATGTTTGAAAGTCTGTCAGTTGCTAATGCTATTGGTGAAATGTTTAAGTTCAATTCCTTGAAGCTATTTGTATACAAATGTTAATATGTTCAGTTCATGAGTTTTGTCAAAGTTCATTTTTCTGTTTTTTATTAAAGGCAGCAAATTATTGGTTCACCTTTGAAAATAACATTGCATATTTCATTCATTTTAATTTATACCAATACCATACCAATCGTATTAGAGTAGTCTGTCAGGTTAGTTCCTACATTATGACTATGTTGTCAGGTTAGTTCCTACATTATGACTATGTTGTCAGGTTAGTTCCTACATTATGACTATGTTGTCAGGTTAGTTCCTACATTATGACTATGTAAGCAATTGTTGTACTGGTATTCATTTGGATGATATTGTTAAACATTTTTAAAAAATGACAAATACAAAAAATTCAATAAAAATTCAAAATTGTTTCAAAAGGAATGAATATTTCATATTACATTTTTCTAGAATATTTGTGTTAGCTTAAGATTTGGTCTAGAAATGGAAATTGTTTTTGAATTGAAGTCAGTTTCATCAACTGAAGAAATTATACACAGTCACTACATTTGTTTCGTTATTATATTAAAAGGTGTGATTTGACTAGCTGTTGATACAATAGGACAAAAAAAAATTTCAATAAAACATACAGAAAGATTTGTAAAATTGAATTGAATAAAAATTGAACTACCAGTATTTGTAGTTACATTTTTCTAAGAAAATTATTTCATGTGATGGAATGATAAATCAGGATTTAAATTTCACAATTGCTTCACAGCATTAATTCCACTCTAATTTTGGGCTTCATTTATGAATGAACTATTCTTAGAGGAGCAAAGAAAATTGATGATCATTTTAAGAGATGCTGCAATTCAGGCAAATTTATAAAATCACAATCCAATTGAAAAGAGTAAGAAATGCTTTTCTATATACCTTAACTACCCACAAAAAAATGTCAGTGGTACCTTTTCCAGGCCTGAGAAACACAGATTTAGTCAGTACCTTTTCCAGGCCTGAGAAACACAGATTCAGTTGAAAGACAAAGAAAAAACACGGCAGAACACTTTTCCCTCTCTGCCACCCCCCCTCCTCCAATACTGAGCTTACAAAATCTAAAAATCATGATAAATTATCTGAACATGTGATCACTCCAGTGACTGCTGAACACCACCCGAGTAAGATCATGATTCAGGGATAATTGAAAGTGGCATCTTCAGAAGATACCTTTACAATCCAGTGGAAACACTTAACAATTCACTGGATACGCAATCTGCTGGATAAATTAACAATTCACTGGTTGCACAAACAATCTACTGGATACACTAACAAGCCACTATGTAAATTACATGAATGCTCAAAATAGAAAAAATTCTGGTAACAAATGAAGTGCCCTACAAATAAAATCTACCAGTGTAAGGGGCCAACAAATCAGTTCAAACAAACATAAACAAAGAAACATAAAGCACAGGGGAGGGCAACCTTTTCGTGCAGAGTGCTGAATTGAAATTCATCTTCTTTTGGCAAGATATTTTTCATGCAAGTTCAGATCGCAAATGGCATACAATTTTAAAATTGCTGTTATTATTATAATTAGTTTGACAATTTTACACTGTGATTTTTATCATTAGTTCAGACACATTTTGACATTGTGATGATTCATTGTCAAATGCTTTAATCCATCACAATTTGTACATAAACATTAATGCAGTTCTCAGGTCTTGTTGGCAGCATTAAATGTTTCTGTGGGCCGCATTTGGCCCGCGGGCCACATGTTGCTCAAACCCTCATTTAGCATGTGATTGGTGCAAGGTGTAACAGGATTTCAAATGACTGCAAATAAATTATTTTCAATAACACTAATAACAGGCAGCAAAGAAACAGCACCTGACTGAACTTGATACATAACAGTAACAACACTTGATTGACATAGAAAAAAAAACTGTAACAGCACTTGACTGTCATAAATCTAACAGCACTTGACTGTCATTGATACATAAATGTCACAGCACTTGATACATAAATGTCACAGCACTTGACTGACATTGATACATAAATGTCACAGCACTTGACTGACATGGAAACATAAATGTCACAGCACTTGACTGACATTGATACATAAAGGTAACAAAGATTTCTGTTTAAAACTCCTCAACAAAATTACCCTGTTTAGATTCAGATGCCCTCAAATGGTCACATGATATTTTTTGAGCTAAGAGAAAAAAGCAGACAATTCATTCAAATTTTGAAACACCCCAAAGATACATTGGAAATCTACACTTACACTGAACATGAACAAACTCATCCGGAGTAAAATCCTCCCATTTGTGGATACATCTAATAAGAGGCCATCCATATGGTATGTAAGCACTGAATGGTTTAGGCCAAATTTAGCTTTTCCCCCGAGAACCCTATGTAAATTAAAGCAAGTGCTCTCTTTTCCAAATAGCGAATCCATTTTAAAAATTACAGGGTTGGGTAAACGTAAGTAAAAAACCTATGTAGGACATTAAGTGCCATTTAGCAACCATTTGTGTAGGCGCTTCTGCAAATGATAATTACTCATGTCTGTTGCTGATTTGCACCAGGTCCGCTAGGTGCCGTGTCCCGTCACAATGAATTGAAAGTGAAAATTTTTTTTATACAAATTGTGTACTATTTCGTGACCTCCCTGTGAGGTAGCTGCAGCTCTTTAGGGGAGTGGTGCCCATCTTGGGAACCACTGGGGCCTCTCCAAACAAACAGTGGAGAAAACCATTGATATATTTTCACCAAGATGTCGTAACTGTCTCTAAATAAATTTATCCTTTTTTTTTGTGTGGGGAAGGTGGGAAAGGGTGGGGGGAGGTGTTTAAAACTCATCAGTACATATGCAGACGGGAGGGTTCTCCAAAAATATATGCCTGAAATGGGGGATGGGGTTGAAATATGAATATTTTGCATACATACTATGTGGATGGCCCTAAATGTATCAATGGCCCTAAATGAAATAATCACTTTCATGGACAGAAGTTTATCATAACAAAAACATGTAAATAAATCTGCTGAATAAATATTCTCAACAGTGGAGAAATAAAAAACAAAATTTCTGATTAAATGATTTTTTAAGGCACAATCAACTGTCACCAAAAAAATATCTTATTAATTAATGATTTTTTTTAAAAAATCAATTTTTACAAATTCGTAAACTTTTTCTTTCTTGCAGTGATTCACAAACAATTTTTTTTTAAATGTATCATTCCATTTTAAATAAGTTAATGACATCAATCCGATGTTAACACCAGACTAAAGCTTGGATCTGGTTCAGCATAACTACATTTTTTTTACAAACAGAAGTCGTCATCCAAAATAATATTTTTAGGAATGATGTTTAGAAAATTCCCAGCTCAATATCCTCTCAGAAAAACATGGGCACATACATGGGCGCCCATGGGCACATATCTTTTTCATGGCAAAGTTGCAGTACTCTTATTCAGGTCATATTGCATCAAACCCTCCTGGATTACAAAAATGTCTAGTAAAAGTGGAAAATTAATATCTTAAAACATTAGACACTCTGTTTAGCCATGTGATGCCATATGTTGCAGCGGCTCACACAATTTCAATGATGACCAAAATTTCATGACAATATTTTCAGGTGGGGGAAGAGTAGTTGCTTCTTTAGCAGACTTTGTTTAAGAGCCGCCAGTATAACGCTTTGAATCACAGCTCCAAGAACTCAAGGAATAATGTACAGCTTGGTTGACACTGAAATCTTTTCTTATTATATACTCATGGCATTGAGGTTTTACCTTTTCAAGTATTCCAAAATTAGGCCAACCCTGAAAAGAAATCTTCATGCAACAAAAAAAACCTGTTCAAATGAGATGAGACTGTTCTTCATCATTCTTGCAGGTTCTGTCTTGTAGTTGCATACTGTTAAGTGGTTTACACTCTACAAACAGGTATCGTTAATTTTCACTGGTAGCAGGTCTAAAAGCTGACGCCAGGAAAGCATGTTCTCAGTTATGAAAATTGCCATTTCATGTTCCCTGTCAAGTACAGACTTGACGTTAGGAAGATATGGGCTATTTCATGTTCCTTGTCAAATACAGACTTGATGTTAGGAAGATATGGGCTGTTTCCCTGGCACTGGCAATTTGTTTGCAGGGGTCAAAAAGGTGATGATTGACTCATACACAAAGAAAGTGATGGCGCACGCTGGGGTGACACGCAGGAGGTTGGGAAGAAGGCCCTTGTAGTACCCGATCAGCCCCTCAAAGCTGGCATAGGAGATAAAGAATTAAAATGCTCTGGTTAAAAAAAAATATTTTAACTTCAACAGGATTTAGAATAGAAATGATTTTTGTACTTTGATAAAAAGAAATGTGTGAAGAAAATAATGATGTTTAAAACAACTTAATCTGTAAAACAAGGGAAAGAGGTTAGGCTTGTAAATTTCAACACATGTATCTCCCATTGTTTTACAATTTAGTTGAGTTACCTTAAGGACTTAATTTTTCTTATTTATTATTTTTTTGTTACTACTGTAAACATGTCTGATACCACAGTATAAAGATGTCTGTTACCACAGTATACTAGTAGTATAAAGATGTCTGTTACCACAGTATAATAGTTTAGAGATGTCTGTTACCACAGTACACTAGTTTAGAGATGTCTGTTAACACAGTATAAAGATGTCTATTACTACAGTATACAGACGTCTTTTACTACTTTATGAATGTCCATTACTACCATAAAGATGAATGTATGTTATTACTATTTTAAATCTGTATGTTACCGGTACTACAAAGTCTGACTACTTCTAGAGATGTATGTTACCACCATATAACCCCCCCCCCCTTTTTACAGTGCAATCACCAAAATTTGCTACAAACATTTAAATGCCAGCCACACAAGCTCACAGTCAAATGACTTGTAAAATAAAACGTGTCATTTGTTAAGAAATATTTTAATTTTAATTGTTTTCAATTTTCAACATTTCATTCTATTGAATAAATCAAACTATACAACATATTATAACATTGTATACAGCAGATCAAACTAAACACTAGCCTCTAACCCTCAAGCTCAGGTGACCATCCCAAAGACCATCAAGAACTCAGCTGTAGTACTAAGCCATTCAAGACAAGCAAACAAAGCTCTGAAATACTCATGTTTTTTGGGTGGTTTTTTGGTTCATGCCAAAGAAGTTTGTTAACTACACCAAACAAACTAGAGCCCAGTGACATTTCATCTGTGACAATGTTAAAATTACAACCAAGAAAACTCAACTCATCTGATGAATTATTTATTTAGATACGCTTTCAACGTAATGTAAGGACGTCTGACTTCTTCAAGTGTTGACTTAAGAAATGACCTCTAATGACCAAAAGGGAAGTCACTATTATTGTTAAAAAGATCAGAAGTCATCAAAACTTTAGCTTCTTATTGTTAAAAATCAAAGTCTATTTGGCAGACGCCCAATATCATTTCTTGAATACTCTCCAAATGAGTTGTTCACCTGGCAGACAGCCAATATCATTTGTTGAAAACTCTCCAACTGAGTTGTTCAAAATTCAATGTTTTACTGGGCAGATAACATCTGACAGATGTTATCTGCCCAGTAAAACATTGAATTTTGAACAACTCAGTTGGAGAGTTTTCAACAAATGATATTGGCTGTCTGCCAGGTGAACAACTCATTTGGAGAGTATTCAAGAAATGATATTGGGCGTCTGCCAAATAGACTTTGATTTTTAACAATAAGAAGCTAAAGTTTTGATGACTTCTGATCTTTTTAACAATAATAGTGACTTCCCTTTTGGTCTTTAGAGGTCATTTCTTAAGTCAACACTTGAAGAAGTCAGACGTCCTTACATTATGTTGAAAACGTATCTAAATAAATAATTCATTAAAAATATTTTGATCGTCCACCAGCTCATCGTCAACATTCACCAGCATCAAAACAATGTTTTCAAAAGCCCATCCCGGGACCATGTACTGGCTTAGCCACCAGCGGAGACAAAACACGGAAGGATAGGGACAAAACCTTATTTAATGCTTTTTGAGCTGTTAACATTAACATTAAATCACCGTCAAAAACTCAAAGGACTACCATGGCCCACGAGGAACAGAACAATCTGTTGCAGCCAAAATGTCATTCAGTGGTAACACGTACAATCCTTGTCCTGTGCGTCATCAAATAAATAGCCATGTCTTCTCCTCCTTTAATATCAATAATATGTAGGAATATTGAAAGAAACATCTCAACATCTTTATATACAAGTATTACAAGCATTACAAATATTATGTCAATTAATTTATACTCATGAATGATTTTTTAGTTTCTGCCGATGAAAGCTTTTTTCCGAAACGTTTGCATTTGTATTCTGTGTAGCAATTATTAAAGCTTCACCTCTAGTGTTTTATTGACACAACTGAAGCCTTAATAAGTGAGACATTTTTTTTGGATCAGTTTTCTTGAAGTATCAAATGAAACAAAACATGCTTTTACAACAACAAAATATTTAAGTTTTTGTTACGGATGTTTAAACATTTTATTTCAGTCCCCGAGTAAAACCGGTGGGTCATTTTATTTCAGGTAAATAAGTTCCGCTTTAAATGGAATTAACCGTCATCAACAATTAAGTCTAAACTCTCTGCAAATTTTGCCTCTTCGTTTATGAAAAAAAGTTCTAATACCCTGACGGCCTCAATCCCCTGATCATAAAAATATATTTGAAAAGAATATCTGAAATAAGGGCCCATCTTCAGAGTTGTAAATGCTTACAAAAATATCTACCCCAGCAGGAGGACAGATTTCAATGAAGAATCCAATTTTTTAATTGAATGTTTACCACATTTTAAGTACTTAAACATATTTTGTCCTTCACCGCATTTTGTGTATTTAAGAATGGATTTCCTTACAGTCAATGTTTGGACACAACCAAGACAAGTGTTGAAATAATCCTCATTTGACTATATGTACAAAATCTGTTGGAACAAATCAGTTTCCATTAAGTTACACATCATTAATCCAAACACATCAAGATTCAGAGAAGATTTCCAGAGAAGAGAGCGTAACTAATACGTAACTATTACAAAAGTATTACATAACTAAAGCTAACAAAAAACTGAATCCTCCAATGCGTACCTTTGCACTAGTCGTCACTTGCGTACCTTTGCAGTAATCACTTAACGAGATTACTGGGCAATAAAATGCAGTTTTTAGAAATGATATTATTTATCCTAATGATAAATCTTTGGAGAGTTTTTATGTAGTGAGAACCACAACAGCAGATGGCATTGTCTCATGCAATGGCAAACTGAAAAACCCCCACAGTGCTCACAAATAATTATTCTAGAAGCAAAAACCATTGAGAAGTCGAACATCATGAAAAAGTTAGCATTGAAGAAGATCTTGAACAAGTTCCAAGCTCTTTGCAATACTCATGACTGTACTTTGGTAACTTCTAATATCATGACTCTACTTTGGTAACTTCTATATCATGACTGTACTTTGGTAACTTCTAATATAATGACTCTACTTTGGTATCTTCTAATATCATGACTCTATTTTGGTAACTTCTAATATTATAACTCTACTTTGGTAACTTTTAATACCTAAACTATTTAACACCCTCAAGTGGTACTGGTAGCATGATAGTCATTTTTTCTCTATAAACCACGGGGGTCTCAAACTAACCAAATCAAGACAAATTTGATGGCAGATGACATTACTTGGCCGATTGTTGTCTGTCAATTCAAGTTGTATGAAAAGCTGGTCAGGGACAGGAAAATTTTTGTGAAGCATTTAAAGGGAGTTTTCAACTGCTCAATAAAAAGTAATCTTATGCAGACTATTTGGCATAGCTTCAGCTTAATGAATGATGCACAAAGTAAGCTTAATTAAGACCCAGTGAAGTCAGTGGAACATCCAGAATAAATAGAACTTTACATTTGATCTATAAGTCATGTGTGAACCTAAAAGCCATGTGCAAGCCTATAAGTCATGCGTAACCCTGAGTCATAAAACAACCACAAATCTCTCTCTTTTTTTTTTTTTTTTGATTTTCACATCTTTGCATTGACAATTAAGTTATATATACAATAAGTTTGGAACTAAGACTGGGGTCAACACAAATTAAATGCAGGGACATTTCAACATAGTCAACTCTTGCTCATGCCAGGAACCATACAAAAAAAAAAGTTAAAGACAGAGAATTATATAAATTGTTTTTAAATTATTATTTTTTTCACCCTTCAATTTAAAAAAAAAATTAGATTTAAAAATCATTGAGTCAAATGAATGCATGTAGGTTTTGATTTTGACAGCCAAGAGTTAACTGTGTTAGGTCAAGCGGGTGTTTATAAATATGGACCAATCGCTGCAGGTCACAGATGTAAATACTGACTTAGAGAAGAATGTCTAGTGGGAGCAAAAAGGCTCACAATCTGACATGGAATGTTAAATTGGTGATATGAAATAAATTATTTTAAACAATATTTTGAGAAATTCTGTTAGGCCTCCGAAAAAAAACAAAAAAACAACTATATTATATCATATGATGATTGCCTTGTGCTGTCAGACAAATATTTACCAGTAAAATAATATCAAATAATATCTACAGTATTGAAAATAAAAATATTCCACACAATTACAATGGAAAAATAATTATGTTGAAATACAAAAATGTCCACAATGAACAGCAGATTCATCTGATCTTGATAGAGACGACGTTGCACCTCATGTTGATGACAAAGCACTGTGTCAAGTTGACATCCCGGCACTGTGTCATGTTGACCATCTTTTAAAGGAATTAAAAAAGTAGAGCATGAAAATCTGCAAAAGTGAAATAAAAGGCTAAAAAAAGAAGCAGACGTGACTGAATATTCCCTGTATTCCCTGAATTAAAATTAACTACAAGTATTTTAGACGCCCAACTCTGTGCCTGCAACCCCAGTCTAAACACTGGCCGGGCGATGACAAGATAAATATAGCAGCCCACGCGACAGTCAGTGCCGATAACTCTCAAGCTTCTATAAACATAAGCATTTAATTGATTAAAAGTTTACCTACCGGTACTTACCTTAATATAACAAACCTTAAAAAAATCTAAGTGCTTATGTTATTGATCTATGTTATATCTGTGCGTCTTTTTGTTTCAATTCTAGTGATCAGTAACACACACGTCACGAAATGTAATTTAAAAACATTTGCAACTGCACATACTCGTTCTAAAGCGGACTTCCTATGAAAAGTGACAACGTTTAATGTTATGACAGACACACCCCCCAATCCCAGTCTACCGATTGCTCTACAAGATTTGAAAATAGATGGTGCCACAAGTCGTTTTTAGCATCAGGATAATCTTATCCTAGATATTCGTTGCAAACCGCATTATTGCTTACTGGCAAATAATTGCATGGTGTCAGCTTACGAGCAGGTTATAAACTTTTCGGGCTTTTCACCTCCAAAACAAACAGCTTATGAATAAACAGAAACGGGCCTTAGAACAAGTATCTACAGTGTGTCAATTGAAATAATAAATTAGTGAACATTTTTTAACATTTATTTCACTTTGATTGGTCACTGCGAAGAAAATGAAAAATAAAAAAAGATCATTTAATTTATACTGATCACACATGGGAACAAATAAACTATTACAAAACAAAGTATATTACACATGGCATGCTTTTGGGTTAAAGGGAATACATGACATATTTACAAGAATTTTGTCATTATAAAAGGGTAAATAAACCAGAGAAAAAGAAGCCAGTGGTCTAAGGTTAGTTGAGAAACATTGCACTAGGCACACCAAATGACACATTGGACTTACCTCCCGTGATCACGTCTCCTCTACTGTGGCCATGTCCTCCTCCAGCTCTGCGTGCAGGTTGAGGACAGCCTCGTAGATGCCAAAAACAATCATGATGTTGGGAACGATGTGGATCATGTACGCATTCAGGCCCTTGAACAGCCCACGGAAAGACTCTCGCCTGCGGGAAATGTTGACTCATTGGCTGGCTCTCGGCAAACAAGCCATTTATGATTTATTCCCCCACTCCCCACATTTTATTTTAAGTTGGTCCACATTAAAAAGTATTGCTGTATAAAAAATTTCTTTTAGAGTACATGTTTGACAGCTCACTTTGAAGAGCATTTTAAACCATCAGGAAAGCGTGATATTAAATCTTAATGTCATTTTGTGTCATTATAGAATTGTATGTTGTTCCGATTACCAAATTGTGAACACATAATGGATTTCTTAAAGCAGGAATATCTTAGCAAACAATTATAAAATAATGAGTTGTGAATGGAAATGAAATTCTAACAAATGAAATTCTCCCATGGCAGAAGTAAAACAAATCATTTATTCCAAAAAGAAATATGAAAAAGAAATCAACAAATAGGGTCATGATTGATCCTGTGGACCAATTTGATCAACTGGAGTTGGGCGAATGGGAATTTACTTTTAGTTCTCTTGTTTTTCTTTCAACTCAATTTTGAATGACGTATTATTGGAATGCAACAAACCCACTTTTATAACCATAACTGTCGCAAGGTTAACGTTCCTTTTTAACATAAACTTCTATGCCATGAGAGCCAGATAGACCGGTTCAACTTACACCCAAATTTGTTTCACTACATCCCAGACTCCATTGTAGTGGCGGTGCTGATCCTGCAATCTTGACCGGACCACCTGATACGGGTAAGTGGTGGCAGCGGCAATCATCTTTGAAAGGGCGGCGAAGGTAAGGTACTCTGCAGATGTCTGTGTCAAACGAATGTTTATTATTAGTTTACCAGTTCTAAATGATCAACATGCTGCTTTTTTTTTTTAAATTTTTTTATTAAACATATTTATTTCTGCTTGGTTGCAATTAGTACCCTGAAGAAAGGTTGCAATCTAAGACAATCTTAATGTGATGCATTGCAAAATAATAATTTTTTAAAATTATCATATCCAGGTGAAACTGGTTTAATATATATCAAATAGCTGTGAGGTCCAACAAAGATAAGATGCCCTGGACTTGGTTACAGGAAATATGCATGTACGGAGATTAAATCCCCCCCCCCCAATGAAATATGTTGTGGTGGCCACCTTCATTATCACTATTTATGTCATGGTAAAATTTTAAATGTAATAATAAAAATGTCATTACCAGTCTGGTGTCTAACGGCTGGTTTCTGTGTTTGTTGTACAATGTCTTCATCTCCTCGTATGTCATAAACTGCAGTGCTCCATGGGAGATACCAAACACACCGGGGAGAAAACCCTACAATGAGATCATCAACCATTGACACAGCACACACAATTTTTTAAAATGTTCAATTGATCAGGTTGCTGTATGCTTTCCAAAAATTAAACATATTGTAGTTAATTGTTGTTGTTTACTAAATCACTGGGATACAATAAAATGATACTATTATTACCCATGATGATACTATTATTACCCAAGATGATACTATTATTACCCAAGATGATACTATTATTACCCAAGATGATACTATTATTACCCAAGATGATCTGATTAAGAAAACTCACCCTGTATAATCCTCGTACACCTTCAAACTTGTAGACATTAACCAGAGTTTCCCACATGCCCACAAACTGGACATTCCCAGGTGTGCCATACTGGAGACACATTCGAGTTTTTGAAACCCAGATTGGATTAGTCAAACTTAATGTGGCAAAACCTATTTTTATTTGAAGGGGAAAAAATATATTAGAAGTCAAAAGCTTAAAAATTGTTATATTTTGTATGTGTTTATAGTTAACCAGAGGTAATCTATCTTTCGTTGTTGGTTCTTTTATCAAACTAGAGGTGAATGAGATCCCTTTTAGTATTTATGATTTGACGTATAGTAAGTATAGACAAAATTAACCTGCAAAGCTGGCTATCCACATGTGATTTCCCGGCCCTAGATTCTTGGTCGTATCTCCATCCTGCATCCATGTCTTAGTACTATTATAGCTGAAAAATACAATCTTAATAAAAATGTTGCACAGCGAAGCATTTTTAAAAAAAAATACTAACACTGAAAACAGATGTAATTTGTAACTAATTGTTATTTAATTAATTTCTTAGCATGATGAAATAATAGGCCTACTAAGAATGCACTTTATTCTAAAATAAAACCAAACCATGGATATAACCGTTAGTAGGGGTGTGCCGGACCCCGGTCCGGAATCCGGTTCCGCCGGATTTTGCACTATCCGGTGAAATCCGGTTCCGCCGGATTTACATGTATCCGGAACAACCGGATTCCGGAATATACCGGATTTCGGAATTTGCCAGATTTTGTGACTCACCGGATCATAATCTGAAATAAAAGTAATTCTCTTTCCCGAATTTCACACGATCACGATACATTAATCGATTGTTTCGAGCGTTGAGCTTGTTTAATGTTTAATATTCCGTACATACCAGAGGCTAGAGTCAGCACCGCTAATAGTGGCCAATAGTGTAGGGACTTTGATAAGAAAATTTAAACTTTTTGTAAAAATAAACCAATGGCATAGTTGAAAAGATGTAATTTTTTAAAGAATTATAACACCAAAATCATATTTTTAGCTGTTGTAGTTTTAAAGTTATGAATTTTTAAAGTACGACTTGGTTTGTCATTTTTTAACATGGACTGCATCTCCACATTCTGTGATCTCATTCCACCAATCCCGTCATGCGCAATGACTATATAGTTTATATAAGGCAACGCATTCCCTGCCTTATCACTAAAATACTGTTTAGACTTAGTTTAAACTTTCAACTTTGGCACATGAATAATTAATTAAAGCTTTCCCTGACCAATGGTTTAATAGTTTTTGCACACGGCAAACTCTTATGAATGAAACTCTGAGGTAGTACTACGATACAGTTATGCAAGTGGCTGTGAATGGTTGCCAATGACAACGTGTTGCACACGGTAAATTCTGATCATTTATAATATGGATTCTACCGGGTTGTTAAAGCTCAAATTAAAACATTCCAGTTTAAATGTCTTTAAATGCATTCTGAAACACAAGTTATCAATTATTTTGATGTAAATAGTGATAATAAATTAATATTTCCTAAGTATCGTCAACTTCCGCCATTAAAAAGGGGGGCGTGGCCAACCCCATGGCGAAATTAGGTTGAGCGAGCTGCATAACCTGCTGCGAACGCGTAGAAACATGGCGTCTCTCGTAAGACACTTATCCAAATGGAACGGAACTCAAATATATATCGAAAGTACTAATTTAATAATAAATAGACACACACATCGGAAAATTAAAAACTCGGATTTTTTGGCGCCGATTGCGAATTCCCATACACAAAAAGTAGTAGTCCACCTTGACTTACCGAAGTATCTACCAATAGTACCAAAATCCGGGAGAAACCGGAATCCGGATCCGGCGGATTTCGCATAAGAAAATCCGGATCCGGTTGGAAAAAACGGATCTGGCACACCCCTAACCGTTAGTCAAGAAAATTTTAACATAGAAACTTACAAAAAGAAATAAAGTCCCCATGACAATCCTGCTCCTGTAACATTTGGTGTAACTCCTCGATACAAGCCCTTCCAGCCATCTGATTGCACTATTGATCTGAAAGCGTGCATTACTCCACGGTACTGAGGTCTACCAGCTGTGGCATTTCCAGGACCTTCATCAACTAAATGCGTTTTAAAAATGTGTTATTATTAAATGATATCGAAACATTATTTCTCTCAGTAAGTAACTACAACAACATATTCTCTCCCCTTCCCCTCACCATTTAACAGATGAGTTTTTTTTTGTTTACACAGCCACCACCTTTTTTGCAGTAACACATCTGCCATAATGGCAACAAAGATGGTGGCCAAGGTAAAATAAGTATTTCAACAATTTTCAATAAACATGACACAATGAGTATAACAGTAACAGTATGAGGAAATAAATCATTTTTAAATGGAGTGAATTGCATAAATATACTTATTTAATTTTAATTTACCCAATATTAAAATAATTTAGGTTATAAGTTATAGTAATTTATCAGCACTAATACATGGCATATATGCCACTAAATGTGATGTGTTAATTATAAATTTAAAAAAGACCAATATTTTAAATCATAATTATGGAATAAAAGCACTTGGCCTGGCCTACTACTTAACTACTAGACTTGACCTGATGATTCATTTCATGTCATTCGTTTCATTTTAGGTCTAGGCAAGTACTTAAAAATAAATAACATACCCTGAAAACGAACTTTAATTAAGTCAAGGGGATGAAGAGCAATGGATGAGACAACTCCTCCAGTAACACCAGCGGCCATGTGTTCGAATCGAATATGATTCCGAAATCCTTGTTTGATGTTCTCAGTCTTCTGTCGTTGAGGTTTAGACTCCATTTTATTATATACTTCGATGTTTTAAATTACTAAAATAAAATAAAAATTAGTACTAGATTATATTAAATTTTCCTAATCCTTAAATTGTCAACTATCTGCCATTTTCAATCACGAAGTGAACGCTAATTTGCATCATGTTCTTGTAAGCATTGCGAAGATAATGACTATCGCCATCTTTGACAACCGGATGTTTATTTATCGGAAGTCGTAATTTTGTTGAAATAAGACTTCATTGGAAAAGATGTCAAATAGGATGATACTCTGACCTCTTGTTAAACCTGACCCTGATTACCCGCCTTACTGAGCTTAGTGCAGATCCAGTGGTTAAGAACGTCTGTGGCTGTGGTGAGCCTTGATTTTTCCTCCCAGATTAATACACATCAACCATGCGACATGCATAGTAGCCTACAGGGGTGTACAGTTTTACATGACCCAAAATCCGATGAGTGTTCAAGGAATGGCTGAGGTTGTTGGACCTCCACCTCCACCCCCTCCCTGTCAAAAAGTCATCTACGCCCCTGATAATCTATATCAATTTAAAATAGTAATAGGCCTAAAACTAATATAGGTAAAGTAGTCTCATTAACATTTATTATATAAAAAGCCACATAATGTACAGTAAATTATTGCTTTAATTAGTCAAACTCAAGTTGTCAATCACTTTTTAATATGGTCAAATTCTCTATTTAATCATTTTTAGTGCGGTAAAATTCTCTATTATTTTTGTTAAGCTTATATATATATATATATGTTATACACTAAATTTAAAGAATCATATTTATGTAAAGTGTGTGAATAAAACGTCAGGATGTCATAAGTAAATAGCTCACAAAAACATTTCCAAAAAAAAAAATAATAATAATAATTTTTCAAGCGTATACGCAACCTTAATAAGGAACATTTCTTTGAAATCAGGATTGCATAACCTTGGTTTGATCATATATAATCAATTAATCAATGACTTAAACAACAACAAAAATGCGAATCAATTTAATGCGCTGTAGGTTGTGCTGATCTTGGTTAATACTATTGAATATTTGAAATAAAAGAAGAAAGGACAAACTTAATTTTTTTTGTTGTAGTTTTTCTTTAAGACTCAGTTCACATTAGATGTGAATGGCTATTGGTGAAAGTAAGTGACTAATGAAAGTAGTTTACAACCATCACATTTCAATGGTTTCAAAAGGGTCAATAGGAAACGGGAAAACTCTCGTTCAATTAGGCACGTCCATCTTGCCTAATAGGGCTTGTCATTTCTAAGACCGGAAAACGTCACATCGCATTATGTAGACCTAATGTTACTATTTTTACACATGCATAGCTTCTAAAACGAAAACCTATTTCTGCACCTCTTTTGTATCACTTATATTATATATGTATTTTTATTGTCTTATATAATATTTTGCTTGTGGCCTGACTGCTCCCATTTCAGGATAGCGCGCAAAATATAATTCCCGATAACTACGCTAAATGATTTTTTTTTTTTTTTTTAAATAACACAACTGCGTTTGGGGCTTAATATTTCATTTTATTTTGGGAAAATTTAATCGTCTCAATTTCAACAATGGTGTAATAAATACTCGGTTTAAAAGTGGTTGGAACATCAAAATATTTATATAGTTCATGGGCGTAAACTAAAAAGTGTGCAGTGACGTATCATGGAGGGAAGGGATGTAGCATAAAATTGGGCATCTTAAATGTGCGTTACTTGAGTTAATGTCTTGACTAGTTACTTTCGTAGATGGGTGGTTCACGCATTGCTGTCGCCGATGTTTGGCGAGCTATAACTAGTACATATATATAAACCTACGCAATCCACTGGAGTCGGAGTAATTTATTTCTTTAGGTTATTTATAAAGTAGGTAAGAACCACTGATTAATCAACTGACGAAAAGTATTTAAATAAATATCTTTGATGAAATCATTAGAAAAGTGAACTACTGTCTGTAGATTTGGTGCATTCTGAAATTTATATTTTCTATACATAAATAGCCAGCAGTGAATACGACAGACCTCAGTCCATACCGTGACTCAAATCCACGTTGAAAGTGGCTCAACTTTGGGCAAACCAAGAATCTATTGATGCTACTGTACACAACCTACTGCTTCACCCGTCCCTCCGTTTTGTTGTATTTACTTGCCCAAGTGAACGTGAAGCTGTTTGCACAGACGAAAGGCAGAGTGCACGCTCAGCAGTTTGTGTATCAAAGGGTTAATGAGTACGTCCTTTGTGTCATGCAGTGACACCCAAGGCGTTAGCGGTTAGGGTTGGACAAGTTTGTGTCATGCAGTGACACCCAAGACGTTAGCAGTTAGGGTTGGACAAGTTTGTTCATGCAGTTACATCCAAGCAGGGTTTCTTTCAGCTATATCTCCGGGCACTGCCCCCCTCCCTCGGGGAAAGCCAGGTCCACCCCCTTCGGAGAAAAATATGTCCAAAAATAAATCAACTGAAACTGCCCCCCCCCCAACTGCACCCAAGGCGTTACCAGTAAAGGTTGGACAATTTTCTGCAACTGTTGCCATCATTTTATCCGATTCATGGTTCACATCAGCCAATCTCACAACCATGGGCGCCCGCCGAAAACTTTCTAAGAGGGGGGGGGGATCAATTAACTTTCTAGGGGGGGTGGCACAATTTTTTTTAGTAATGTTTTAATGTAGTTTTAATTTACTGTAGCGTATTTGTATGGTGAACGATCGGACAGGACATCAGCTTAGTTACTTTCTCTTTATTTTTTCTTTACTTTAATAATTTTTTTGTCTATTTTTGTCTAAATATGTTTATCCAATTAATCCAGGGGGGCAAGTGCCCCCCCTGCGGGCGCCCATGCTTACAACCATTTCAGCCAGTCTCACAACCATATAAGCCAGCCTCACACCCACATCAGCCAATCTCACACCAACATCAGCAAGTCCCACACCCACTTCAGCCAGTCTCGCACCCACACCGCCACCAAAACCACATCAGCCAGCCCGACACCCACATCAGCCAGTCCCACACCCACACCAGCCAGTCTCGCACCCACACCAGCCACCACCACAACTACATCAGTCAGCCTGACAGCCACATCAGCCAGCCTCACAACCACATTACCAGGCTCACAACCACATCAGCCAGCCTCACACCCACATCAGCCAGCCCCACCACCACACCTTGCCAACCTCATTTCAACATCTTAAAAGCAGGATACATATCCCTTGCCAGATTCCCTTTTACACTTTGCCATCACTCCCATATCTTGCCATCACTCCCACACCTTGCCATCACTCCCATGCCTTTCCATCACTCCCATATCTTGCCATCACACCCATATCTTGCCATCACTCCCATACATTCCCATCACTCCCACTCCTTGCCATCACTCCCATACCTTGCCATCACTCCCATACCTTGCCATCACTCCCATACCTTGCCATCACTCCCATACCTTGCCATCACTCCCATACCTTGCCATCACTCCCATACCTTGCCATCACTCCCATACATTGCCATCACTCCCATACCTTGCCATCACTCCCATACATTGCCATCACTCCCATACCTTGCCATCACTCCCATACCTTGCCATCACTCCCATACATTGCCATCACTCCCATACATTGCCATCACTCCCACACCTTGCCATCACTCCCATACATTGCCATCACTCCCATACATTGCCATCACTCCCACACCTTGCCATCACTCCCATACATTCCCATCACTCCCATACATTGCCATCACTCCCATACCTTGCCATCACTCCCATACATTGCCATCACTCCATACCTTGCCAACACTCCCATATCTTGCCGTCAATCTCTTTCCTTGCCAAAACTCCTACATCTTGCCATCACTCACTCTCCTAGCCAACACTCCGATACCTTGCCATACTCCCATATCTTGCCATCACTTCCTCACTTTGCAATCACTGACACACCTTGCCAACACTCCCATATCTTGCCGTCAATCTCTTTCCTTGCCAAAACTCCTACATCTTGCCATCACTCACTCTCCTAGCCAACACTCCGATACCTTGCCATACTCCCATATCTTGCCATCACTTCCTCACTTTGCAATCACTGACACACCTTGCCAACACTCCCATACCTTGCCATCACTCCCATATCTTGCCATCACACCCATATCTTGCCATCACTCCCATACATTCCCATCACTCCCATACCTTGCCATCACTTCCTCACCTTGCAATCACTTCTTCACCTTGCCAACACTCCCACACCTTGCCATCACACCCACATCTAAACCAGAAAACATTTCAGGAATTCAACAGTAGGAATCAACACTGGGACTATGTGCTCAGGAATCAACACTGGGACTATGTGCTCAGTAATCAACACTGGGACTATGTGCTCAGGAATCAACACTGGGACTATGTGCTGAAGGATCAACACTGGGACCATGTGCTCAGGAATCAACACTGGGACCAAGTGCTCAGGAATCAACACTGGGACGATGCACTCAAAACATTAAAACAATAATCAAACGAAAGATTCACTTGACATTTTAAAACCAAAATTTACTTTGCAAATGTCAACAACCTAAAGTATTGTACAATGTAATATAAAATCTAAAATGTCATTTAAGTACAACTGATATTTTCAGAGTTTGTTTTAAAAGATGTATTTAGTAAAAAAAAAAATGTGTAAAAGAAAATAATATAAATAATTCTAACAATAAAAGAAACAAAAAATAGCTCCACTATACACAGCTGAACAAAATATTGCACATTTGAACAGAGTTGGTTATGATTTTTATTTAGAAAGCAAAATAAAATCTAATAGAGTTTGTAATCTTTACAGCTAGCTTCAGTTCATTTACAGCAAAGTCATAAGCAGCAAGTTTACTTGGACACCTAAATGGAATGGAACTTGTGGGTGCATTAAAAAATACAACATTGTAATCCAATTTCGCTATTTACATTTTTAATTTACAAGGAAATCTAACTCTCAATTACTCTTTAAGAAATGTAAAGTGTTACTTAATGCTTAACACTAGCAGTACTACTAAATGTGCCGAATGTAAAGGTGCCGAATGTAAACTTTCCTAATGTATAGGTGCCTAATGTTAATGCCTAAGTAATAATTCTTTTAAAGGATACTGCACTCAATTTTTGTTCTGAAATAAAGTCATTAGGCTCAACGGATTTGAAGTGCTCACTTTGTCCATAAGTATTTGAATTGTTCAAA